GTCACTAGCCCCATATTTTATGGGTTCTTTATTCACTCTTTCCCATCCTGCGTTGTTTTTTAAAACACATTTTTCTAGGTCAGGCAGAGTACCTCAGCCAGTGTAGGAACTTTCCATGGAATTTGCCATGCAAGCTGGAGACCTGAACTCAATCCTGGAGTCCATGTAGAGGTGGAAGGAGTAGATGGTAAGGTACTTGTATGAATGTGAGGGCCAGGATTTGGAACTCCAGACCCAAATAAGTATTGGTAGCCTCAGTAACTGATACATAAGAGGGAGAGACGATCCCCAGAACAAGCACGCTGACTATTTGAACCAATAAGCTCTAGTTTCAAGAAACCCTGCCACACTAGGTAAGGAACCATTGAGGAATCTGGCCTCTGCATGCATTCCAGTACACACATACACTGCATATACACATATATGCCAAAAAGATGTAGGTAGGGATGTGTGTGTGTCTGTGTGATTTTCATGTTTATTCTAGATGAATTATGTTATGGACATTATGACTAACAGGCTGTAGAAATTCTGTGTTCAATTACATTCCTCTTATGGATGCTTAGATTATATTAGAACACATTACCTTGGCTGTTCTTACATTACCAAGTGAGAACATTACAGGTCAGGTCTCTTCCTCTTTCAGCCCCTACTGGACTGTTTGGAGTTCCTGTGTACATAGATAGTTCTAGGGTCTGTCAGAGATACTGCCAGAATTTCTACTCAGAAGCCGAGCGTGATTTTCCAACTTTTTTCTTTCTGATATATATTCCCCCGGCATTTTCAATCAGCTGTTTGTTCCAAATTCAGCCCTCTGGTTCTTCAAGCTGGAAGGATCCAGATCCACTTGCTAACTGACATGAAAAGCGAGGTTCTACTCAGCTGCTTGTGACTGCTGACTGTTCTGAGCCACCACATGCTTTTTTCTTCCACCCAGAGTTCCAGTGCAATAATCTCGGTCCTTGAAAAGCTTTCAGACACACCTGAAACCAGGAGGACACTGTGCCAAATAAGTTATTAACAGGAGTGGTTTTCTTTAAAAATAATTAATAATAATAAGGCTAGAGAGGTGGCTCAGCAGCTGAGAGCACTGTCTTCTCTTTCAGAAGACCTAAGTTCAATTTTCAGCACCCACATAACTTTGTGTAACTGTAATTCCAATTAATCTGACATCCTCTTTTAGCCACCACAGGTACATGCATGGTAAAACATGCAGACAAAATGCCCATACACATAAAATAATAATAAAAACAAAAGTTGGGAAAAAACAGTCTTGAGGAGGTTAATACAGCAAGTGAATAGCAGTGCCTGTTTCCCAAAGTTGAAGTTCCGGCATCAGGGAAGAGACGGTTACCAGGTGCCAGTACTGCTGGAGCAGTCTGTCTGCTCTCACAAGCCCAGTGCAAGCTATAGACTTGTTTCCTGCAAGGACACCCCCGGTTTGTGCAAAGGTCAAACCCATTCCTTTGTGGTGAGGCGATGTAAGAGATCATGTTTCAGAACTGCTGTTCCCGTGAACTTGCCAGAGCAAGCCCTTGCTTCCCTCTAACCCTTCCCTTTGGACTTACTGCTTCTCTTTCTCTCTGGGTATTTTCCAGACCCACTTAAATAATTACAGACTCAGACTGAGTTTGTATTCAAAGCAAATGTTGTGATCTCAACTTTTTGTTTTGGTGGTTAGAGTTCAATTCATTTTTTTTTTTTTTTTTAAAAATCTTTCCCCATATTAAATAAAGCAAAGTGTTTCTTATCTTAAAAATAAATATTTTGTAATTGACGAAGAGTTTTTACCACAATAACCCATGGCAACCCATTGGGTAGGTACTGCAGGGGTGGCACATGTGAGGCCTTGGGCTCTATCCCCAGCTCCATAAAAGGGTAAAAGGGAAGGGTAAAAGTTCTTCTTTTCTGGTGCCTTTAAGTCGGGAGTTATGAAACATCCTCAGCTAGAGAGTTGACTTGTCCTGGAAACAAGGGCCCAGCAGACCACTTCCTTGTGGTTGCTCCGTTCAGTTGCTCCAGAAAGTGAAGTTAGAAGATTCCTTTACTTGCCGGTCATTGGATTTGGGAAGGCCAGAGAAGAAAGTCAGCACAGTTCCTATAATCCCTGTAGCCTTGACAATGAGTTGCCTGCTTTGGTGACTATTTTCTTCTCAAGTGAGGAAAACAAGAAATAAATTTAATATTAAATAAAATTCTCATTTCCCTTTTCAGGATTCTTTTTCTAGCTGTGGTTCACAAATAGGCAGGCATAATCCTCAAGTTTCCTAAGCGACAAGTCTCAGCTTTTCTTGTTCCATCCATTTGCAAATTAACAACTTGTAAACCTCTATCCAGGAAAAACCATGGGCTCATTGCCCGTGTACATTAGGCAGCTAAAAGCTTTCCAGTGGAATATTGTGAGTTTGGGAAAATATGCTACAGTTTGACCTCCATGACCCTACACGTCCTCCTTTGCTGCCTTGACTCTGAGCAGCTGCAGAGAGTGACTCTGTAGGGCCCCATCTGTGCCCTAGCCACCCAATGTCAAACAGATCTTTAGGGTTTATTTATATTCCTGGCTTCTCTGAACAACAAGTTATGGATTCTCAGGAGCATTTGACATGCTATTTCTGGTATGAGAGTGAATGCTGAGATGCAAGGAACAGCTTCTCAGTGATTTGTGCACTATTTGAGACAGAAGTCTGGCATGCTCGATCACACATTGGAGCCTCACTAGTGTGCAGATGCTCTTTAGTTGCCCAGGAGGGCTTAACCCATGCTGGACCACACAGAAAACTCTCACTGTATGGTTAAGTGCTGAAAGGAATATTCAGGCAGTACCTTGAAGGTGGTCAGAGAAAGGAGTAGTAGCTGTAGGCAGAAGGGGGAGGCTGAGAGCACCCATCTGTGTGAGGTCTCAGCAGATGGGGTTGACAGTAGGTCAGGTAATCTATTTCATGAAGCATGTAACCTAGAAGGCCATGGGAACTTCCCATTGCTTGAAAGAAAGGTCCCACTTAGCTTTCTTGCTGCATACCTATGTTTTAGTTTGGCTCAAGAAGCAGAAGAAAAGACTTTAATTTTTGTTTGTTTGTTTGGTTTGTTTTGTTTTGTTAAATTTTTTGCTTTGATTCTGTTGGGCTTGTTGGGCTTTTCAGGTTTCTTTAAGCTGTAATGTGTCAGATCTTGTGTCTGGTGTTGGTGAAAGAGAGCTTACCAGAATATGCTCCTCTCTGGTTTCAAACTGGGCCCCCATCAAGTAGTCCTCCTCTAGGAAAGTGGTGTCCACCAGCTGTGACACAGGTCTCCACTCATCTCTACTCATACCCTCCCTTAGCCTTGGGGAGGCTGCCACCTGAACTGCCCATGTTCCCACCGGGGAACTCATGGCTCAGTGAAGCTGTACTAGCTTTTGCCGAGGTCATGCGTTCTTAGTGCAGCAGTGCACGCAAAGATGCGTGTCAGTGGCTGTGGAGCAGGCCTGTTAACATTCACTGCCAGCTTAGAGAGAGAGTGTGGGTAAATTTGCCAAGCTGTGGTTGCCTTTTATTCTTAAACTCTAATTGTATTTTGACCACTATGGGGGCAAGGTAGCCATTGGCTGCTGGGGACATTACTTGATAGGAAGTTGTCATAGTTTTACACACTTGAAAAAGCTGCTCAGGTTTCAGAGCTATGGATAGCCTGTAAAGAGAAGGGGTGGTTAAGATTGAACCCAGGGCCTTGTACATTTGTAGGCAAATGCTCTTCCACTCAGCTGCATCCTGTGCTGCTCAGGAATTTTTAAATTTTAAGGAAACTTGGTGTGTGTGTGTGTGTGTGTGTGTGTGTGTGTGTGTGTGTGTGTGCGCGCGCGCGCGCGCACCATTGCTCCTTCTAATTGGTGCCAACAGGAAACCAGAGTCATCTTCTTGGAGGAAGGATGGGTCTTGTGACTAAAACTTTTTTAAAGAGGCAGTGGGTCTTTTCTTTGAGGATAAAACCTTCCTTAGCATGCAGTGATGGCTTGCTGACTCAGGGCCAGCTATGGAATGAATTTTGTCTGTCTGTTCCTGATTCGGGAGGTGACTGAGAGGAGACGCTCCAGCCTCTAGCCGGCAGGAATGTCTTTCTAAACAGACAGGCAGATTCCCAGATTAGAAGGAGTCTATGCAGCTGATGTCACTATTTCCTGAGTAGTTCTGGGTGATTATTTACTGTATCTGGCTGCCAAGAGCCAGAGTCTGTGAGTGAGCCTCATTATTAGGGCTCCAGGTTGCAGGCATGGAGGGAAGAGCCGATTGTTGCCGCAGTTAAGATGAAGATTTCAAAGATCTGCCGCCTACTGAGCCCCAAGGAGGCAGTGGGGAGTAGGGGGACGGGCCACGCTCCTGGGGCTGCATTCTGAGGCATTTATAGGATGGCACACAGCCAGGACTGAGACGCCGCCCGCATTGCCACGGAGGCCGCTGTGCAGCCTGGTGGTGGTAAGTGAGGCGTTTCTGGCTTAGAGCAGGCAGTGCTTTAGAAGCACCTGTAAGTACTGTTGCAGTTTTCCTTCTTTTCTTGTGTGGAAGTTAGTGTACTATTGTGCTGAGCTGGGGGAGACCTTGGCCCCTTGTGAGTTGATCACCATGTGCTGGTGAGTTGAAGCTATGTGGGAGTTTGCTTTCAAGCAGTCTGCCAGAGGCGTGTAGCTGCTTGATACCGTGGTGCTTGGGATCTCTCAGGGTCCTTCTGTTCTGCACAGAAGAGACTCCAGTGTGCCTACAGTTCCTCTTGCTTGGCCTTTGTGTCACCAAGGTTTTATTTTTCTTACTAGCTGCCTTTCCTACCTATGGCTGTTATTTAAGTGCACTTGCCAGTTGATACCATGGCTGTTCTAGAATCCTTTTGTGTAGGGCTAGAAACCCAATACTGTAGTGTATGTAGACTCCTTTCTCTGTGACTGCCTTCTTTCTACTGAGAGTAGCTGGTGCCCATGGATGAGTGGGTGGCTGATTGGCTGTCAGCCCCCCTAACACAGTGTGTTGTTTCTCCAGCACAATCCTGGAGGAAGAGAAGGCGCAGCAAGAAGAACGGATGAGGATGGAGTCCAGAAGACAGGCGACAGTGTCCTGGGACTCTGGAGGGTCTGATGAAGCCCCACCCAAGGTAGCTGACACCCCTGCCTCAGCGCTGAGGGTCCTCTTGACCTGCACTCTGTGGAGTATATACTGTTGTCTGCGATCAGCCCCTAAGTCATTGGAGGAGCATGCACTGTAATATATTCACCCTCCTCCCTAACAGAATTATTCAGTGTGCAGTTTGCCCATAAAAACTGGGGAGGCCGACGGCTGTCAGAGACCTGATGTGAAGTTACCCTTCCCTCCTTGTGGCGCTCCCCGGAGGGTTAGTTGGGACTGACTTTCTCTTGTTGACAAGAGAATTAGAGATGTCCCAGTCCATTGAGGGTTAAAAGAGCAGACTAGCCCATGAGCGCTAAGGGTTTGCTTTACTTTCACCTCCGGCCCTGCCGGCCTGTGGCTTTGGTTCGCAGGGCCTTCTGTCGTGCTTCTGGGTTGTGGCTGCTGGCTGGGTGTTGGTGGAGGGCACTGCACTTGCTCTGGAGTCTTTGTCCTGACAGGCACCTGGGCCTCCGGGTTGTCTCTCTCAATAGCCGGGCTGAGTGGCTGAATATGGGGACCAGATGGCCTTTGTCACTTCACACACAGTAAAGGGTCTTCACTTCCCCTTCATGATGCACCAGCTTGAATAAATAATCCAATTCAGATCTTTTTCTGAAAAGTAAAAAAAAAAAAAATTTTTCCCTGCTGAATGGTATGCGTGGTTAGCTAAAAGGTTTGGCACCATTTTATTTTCTTCTGAAGACTGGCATGTGGGACACAGGGACGGTGTGTTGTGCTAGTGCTTACCATGGTGTCTGAAATGCTGTGGTAGTCCATGCTGAGCTGTGAAGTTGCTGACCCCACACTCCCTCAAGTGGACATAGGTGAAGTATGGGCACAGGGGATGAGCTCAGCTCGGCCTACAAGAACAGCAAGACCTCCTCACCTACAGAAGAGATTCCACACTTCATCCAACAATTCAGCCCATAACACATCCCTTTGCGGGTTGTTTGTCATTTATCTGTTGTTGTGTTCTTTTGTCTTAATTTGATTTGGGGGTTCTTGTCTTTTGCCTCCTACCTCAGCCTCTCAATTTCCTGCTTTAATCCTGTGTCACCTACAAAGCTGTCCCATATTGGGAGGTGAGAGAAATCTCATCACTTAGTTCTCAGGCCTGGGGTCAAGCAAGTCTCTTCATCTGAGGCTTGGCTGGAAAGAGACAATGACAGGGTGCATTATTCTAAACCTCACTCTCTTAGTTTATAGGATGGAGGTGTTAGTACTCCTGCCTCTTGGAGACGGAGTTGGAAATGCACCAGGTGGCACCTCTCTAAGCTAAGAGTAGCTCTGCCACAGAGTCCAGGCTGCCAGTGCCTAGGTATCTGTAACTTTTCCTAATCTCTGTTGGGTTTTGGGTCTTTGGGTTTTTTTGTTTGTTTGTTTGTTTTTGGTTTTGTTTTGTTTTTTTTTTTTGTATGTTTGGTTGGTTGGTTGATTGTTTTTTGTTTTTGTTTTTTCAAGACAGAGTTTGTCTCTGTTAAGAGTGCTGGCTGTCACCGTTTTGGAACTCACTCTGTAGATCAGGCTGGCCTTGAACTCACAGAGATCTTCCTGCCTCTGCCTTCCCATCCCCACCCCCATTGCTGGGATTAAAGGCGTGTTCCACCACTGCCCATCTGTGATTGAATAATTTTCATTTTGGCAGATTTATTTTAAATTAGGCTCATGTGGTTTTGCTTCTTTTGGATCTTAAGTAAAAAGAGTAGCTCATAAATTTTTAAGTATTCTCCCTGTGTACACAGGTCTGCCACTGATGGTGTTTCCAAATTCACATTCGGAGGCATTCTTCAGGACCCCCCACCCACCCACCCAGTTCTTTGTTTAAAGCAGAGATCAGTATTGTTGCCTGGTCCAGTTCATCGCACTTTTACTAGAACACAGCTTCACACACTGTAGTGTGTGCTCCTAGTCACGCCAACAGTTATTTCCTGTTTTACTGCTTTGACAGCGGCGTGGGTGGGACTATCAGTCAGTGTCACCAAATTTCACCAACGAACACCATATTCGCCCCCACCACCATACTCCTCCACTAAGGGAAACTCACGGTTTATGGCAGAAGGGCCCGGATGAAGTGGCTCAGTATTGAGCCTATTTAGCAGCACTAGAGAAACATGTTATGCAGATTGGTGCATTTGGTGGACATTTTCTCAAAAAGTAAAGGCAATAAAGCCTTTACTTGAAAATTCAGTAAAACTTGAATTTTCAAGCAAAAATTCTAATTTTAAGTAATTTAGCAACTTGACCATGATAATTTCCAGGCTGTTTTGGAGGTATCACAACAACATTAACATGTGATTGCTAAAAGTTGTTGTGTTAACTTCCTGGGAGATACAGGCAGACATCTGTTCACTCCAGAAAGGGCTTCAGTGGTCAAGTGCAGCTTGCTAGACCAGGTGATACATTGGTCTTACTGAGTGTGGGGAGAGGCTGCTTACAGGAGCATGAGTAACCCTGAAATAGCTGTGTGCCAAGTCCCACAGATCATGGAAGCTTCAGCTTGGAGCTGAAGTGTTAACCTTCCACACTATACTCTAAGGCCATGTGTGCAGTTGTAGCTGAATTATATATGCCTGGCAGGGGGCTGCAGAGGGAGTGGCTGGTATCTCAGGTAAGAGTCTGTGACTCTCCCCAACCCATTATATGAGTGTATAATCAACAGCCCTCATGAAGGTGACTGTTTGCTTAGAGGACAGTGTTTCACAATTGAATGATGCCCTGCCTTCTATAATGTATCACACTGAGATGATCTACATAAGTTAGTGAACCAGTGCTTTCTAGATGACTTGGGGGAATGTGCCCAGATCACACGTGGGTAAATAGTCCATCTAAGATAGAAGCAAGGTGTGGTGGTTCATGCCTGCCATCCCACATCCCAGGGCTAATGTAGAAGATAATTACATATCAAGACCCTGTCTCAAAAAGTTTAACAAAAAATACAAGCCAGAGTCACGGACTTTAATAAAGCAAATTAGTAATAAGTTTGTGATTACACACTGGCCCTTGGCTTTAAGAAACATCTATTTGGGTTAGAGAGATGGCTCAGCAGTTAAGAGCACTGGCTGCTCTTCCAGAGGTCCTGAGTTCAATTCCCAGCAACTACACGGTGGCTCACAACCATCTGTTAGTGAGATCCGGTGACCTCTTCTGGCGTGCAGGCACACATGCAGACAGAACACTGTACATATAATAAATAGATCTTTCAAAAAAGAGAGAGATTCATTTAGTGATTTAAGGTGTGGTATTAGGAAGCAATATTCATTCACAATTGTGCTTTTGCAAAGGACTTGGGTTTGATTCTCAGCACCCAGTTGCCTACTCACATCCATCGATAATTCCAGCCCTGGGGATCTGACGCCCCCTTCTTACCCATCACCAGACATGCACTTGGTACATATGCATATATGCAGGTAAAACACTCATATACGTTAAATAAATCCAAAAATAATTTAAGAATGTGACTCTACTCAGTGGTTGATGTTTAGTAGAGGTTTTGCCTTGATCAGGTTGATTTCTCTCCTATTATTTTTTATTTGGTGAGGTATGAATATATTTGTTAGCAGAGTAGAATTGTGACATGGAAGAATTGGGTTTCCACCATTGTCATCTTTGTGAACTTTTTTGCTGCTCTCGACTGTTCTGAGCCTATTTAAAGTAGAGTAAAGATGGTGGCATAGCTTTACAGTGTTGTTGGCAGAGTGATCCATTCCGGGTGTACAGGTTACACCGTGTATTTCCCATGCCACTGGCTTCACTTTAGTGGATATTACCGTATGCCTGTTGCCCCCTCTTGGCCTCAGCAACCTGTCCCACACAGTTAATGCACTACATCAGTCTTTTAGTCACCCCCTTCCTGGGCTGTTTGACTGTCTTTATCTACTCATCACTTTTCCTCCCCTTTCTGGCTGTTATGAGCAGTGTCCTTAAGGATGCGTGTTGTTGTGTGGGCTTAAATCCTCACTTCTCTGGTGGGTTTGCTGACGTTATGGTAATTCTGTGTTTCCTTTTCTCAGGGATCGGCCTAGTGCTGTGCATATCAGCTGCTCCAGTTTTTGTTCCCAGCCCAGTACACTAGCCCTGTTCCTCCACCGCTGGCCTTGCTTTTATTGTGTCTTTTTTATTACTATCCTGGAGGTCATAATACAGTCACTCATGGTGGTTTGGATTGCCCAAAGGTGCTGGGCATCTTTTGGGGGCAGTCTGTATTCTCTTTGGGTCTGTTCTGTGTTGCTAGCTATGTCCACTTCCTCAGAGGACTTGTTATTTTAGTACTTACTAAAATAACTGGGAACTGTTGTGCTTGGTCTTTAGTTTGGTCTTCCTCCTCTGGTGCCACTTGGAACACAAGTTTTTCACTTTGGTCATGTACATTTTATATTTGATTTCCCTTTTGTCCATTGAGTTTTTGGTGTCATAGCTAAGACACCGGTGCCCGCCCGTTGGCCTCTTAGATTTAGGCTGTGAGGCATTTTGACTTAACTGTCAGGTAAGTTGTAGGGAAGTGTCATTTGTTGAAGACTTTTCTCTTGCTGAAGTGTCTTGGCTTCCTTTGATTGTTCTTTTCAATCAACTAAGTTGTGTTAGCAATATCTTAATTGTGAGACATTGTTTTATTCAGAATCAGAAGACGCATTCTTACGTTGCTCTGTTGATTTGTTCACAGCCCAGCAGACCTGGTTATCCTAGCCCAAGGTCCAGTGAAGGATTTTATCCCAGCCCACAGCACATGGTCCAGACCAATCACTACCAGGTATATGAGTTGTTACAGATATACAGCATGTTGCTTGTCTTGTCAGCGCTTACGTGGTAGGAAGACGCTTGAATTCATTTCTCGTCTCTGGTTTGTCTACTGAATTTGATGAGTGGAAGCTAAGAAACAAATCACCTTGGGCTTTGCCTCAATTTTCATGCCCTTCCAACCTCCCACAGGCCCAGAACATTCATCAGTCATATCTTAAAGCCGGCAGGCCAGCACCTGTGGCAGTACTTAGACTCATTCTCTCCTACCTGCCTCTAAGAAGACAAAAATAAAATATAAAGCACTGTAACTGTAAGTGCAGGTAGATGAGAGGATGTCTTGCATGAGTGTGTGAAGAGTGCCGGGTTTGGAGTGGCCATCCAGGGTCTGAATGGCCAGTCAAGGGAAAGACATGCACTAACATTGAGCTGTAACTGGATAGGCCCCATTGCTGATGAATACCAACACCACAGTGTTTATACACATACCTTGGCCCGTTCCTTAGAATGCATCCGTGCTCTTCCTAGCTGTCAGCCTAACACTAGAGGTCACCACCTTCCGATCTCTGCTACCTGGCTAGCAGAGGTGTATTTTGCCTGTTATGGAATCTGATGTAAGTGAAGTGGAATGTGTAGTTGAGGATTCAGTTTTTTTGTCTGTGATTGTATTTACTGAAGACATTCCAAAGGTTTCTGAGAGCAGGTTTATTTAAAGGATTCTTGGGCCAATGTGGACAAAAAATGCTTAGCTGATGCTAGGATAGTAGGGAAGCTAGAAAACAAAAGGCCATAAATCTATAGTAGTCTAGGCAGTGGGTGCTGGGTAAGTTTCAGGCTCTGTATTCAGCACCTCACTCCCTTGCACACTGATTCTCATGTACAGCCAAAGAAGATTCCCACCACTAGGAACCAGTTGAGGGGCGATGAGTAGGCCTGTGTTCTGACAGTCACTGCTTTACTCTGACCACCCTCTGCAACCATTCGGATAGGTCCCTGAGTTCACTTTACCTGCTGTCTAGACCTTAGAACATGAAAAAAAAGTCTCCCACTCCTCCTGGAAGAATGCATAGTGGGGTGCCTTTCAGCTAGGGAAAAGAGCTGAGTCTCTGACCAGGACAAGGATCAGAGCAGAGGCGGGTATGTGGATAGGCAGGAGGCACACTCACTCTCACTGGTAGCTTACAACACAGTCACCCTGGAGAAGAGCCATATTGCCTCCTTCCACAGGTCACTTCCGCCCGTGACTCCACCCCCAATGGCGTGGTCAGTGCCACAGAAGGAGACAAAGTGAATATCTCACTACAGAGCCAGGCCTACCTACCTGGTTCCTGAAAGTCAGCACTCAGCTGACCCTGGGAGAAATAGATGGCAGCACCTGCTTTTTGGGATAACTATCAGTTCTTCATGTCCTCGAAGGCATGCAGGAGCATGGACAGACCTGAGGACGTTTGTTGTGTCTGACCCCACTGCTTTGGAAATCCCAGAGGGTGGTTTAGAAAACGTCTATGGTAAAAATTTCTGAAAGTTCTGTTAATGATGTAGCGAGAGAGAGGGGGGGGGGGGCTTAGCAGTTAAAGAAGCACTGCTCTTGCAGGGGACGCAGGTTCGGTGCCCAGCGCCCACTTCAGTTGCTCACAGCTGCTGGCAACTGTAACTCCTATCCTCTAGCACCTATACATAAGTGATCCACATACAGACAAGCAGGCACATATAAATAAATATATACAATTAGAAAATGAAAACGGTGACATACCACTTGTGTGCAATAGGATTTGTTACTAATTCCATGCCATCCCTGGGGACTTTGAGCATTTGCCACTTCCCAGAGACCAAATGTAGACAAGCCTTTGCTGAAGGATGGGAATGTGAATTTCACTGTGGATCTATCTCTGTCTCATCTCACCGAGTAACTAACAGTCCACTCTGGCCATATGATTGCATTCTGATTCAGCTGTTGAAGAGAAGCCATTTCAGGAGCCTTTGTGCTTTCCTTCTGCCTGGGTTTGCCATGTTCCCTCTCTGCTATAGTTATCCCTCCGAAATAAAAGACATGGCCTCTCCCACCACCACCAGTCTCTTGTTCACTGGAGGAAAACATTTTGGAATTTTATTGTGGTTTTTATTCTCGTTTGGGAGTGAGTTTTGGGAGGGGGGTGAGGTTGAGATGGTCTCACTATATAGACATGGCTGGCCTAGAGATTTAGAGATTTGCCTGCCTCTTCCTCTCAAGTGCTGAAATCAAAGGTGTGTATCACTACACCTGGCCTGTTTGGAATTTTCGGGACAGGATCTCAATGTGTGACTGTAGGCTAACCTGGGACTCATTATGTAGATAAAGCTGGACCTCTGGCTTATAAGTGCCAAGATTATAGGCCACACACCACTATATCCAGCTCTACTGTATGATAGAGTTGTGTGTGTTTGTTTGTTTGTTTGTTTGTTTTTTGAGACAGGCACTCACTGCGAAGCCCAGGATGGCCTCAGAGTCTTAGCCCCTTGTCTTAGCTTCCAAGTGCTAGAATTATATGCTTTTTCCACGATGCCCAGAAGGTGAGTTCCAGGACAGCCAAGGCTACACAGAGAAACTCTGTGTCAATTCCCCTCCCCCCGCAAATAAACAACAGCAAAACATTTCTGGACTGCGGAGATGCCTCAAAGTGTGGTACTCTTGCAGAAGACTTTAGTTCAGTTCCCAGCATCTCTGTCGGCATTTCACAACTGCCTGTAACTCTGACTTCAGGAGATCTAATGCCTCTGGCCTGTGTGGGCACCTGTATTCTGATGTACACACCCATATAGAGACACATATATAATTTTAAAATAATAGAAATTAAGAAAACAATGATCTTTAAGAAAAAAGAAAAAAAAAGCTGGCCAGGGCAATGGTGACACACACCGTTAGTTCCAGCACTTCGGAAGCAGAGGCAGGTGGATCTCTGCACTCAAGGCCAGCCAGGGCTACACAGAGAAATCCTGTCTCATAAAACAAATTTCAATACAAAACGAAACGTAATTTGTGTGCCTGTCAGCTCCCTGCATTCCTGAGTTACTGGTCACCTTCTTCCATGTTTATTCTAAGTTCAAAGTTGAGTGTTGGTTCTCTGATCTCTTCTTCTCGGTATTCTGTTCCCATCCTGCACCTGAAGACTCTTGGGACTCTCGTGATCATGTTGGACTCAACCAGATAATTTGAGTGTCCAGTTGTGTCCATGATTTAGAGGCACATCTACAAGGTCCTTCTGTCAAGTCAGAAAATAATGTTCAGGGGACCAGAACTTGGATGTGGTGCCTGCTCTGCCTACTTCCTGTGTGTGTTTTCCTTAAAAGAACTGTTTGGTTTTGGATCTAGCAGAATCGCTATTCTGTCAGAAGCTAATACTGCCTCCTGAAACACTCACAGGTTTCTGGCTACCCGGGTTCCCATGGAATCCCATCCATGGCAGGCAGCATTTACCCAGGTCAGGCATCTCTTCTGGACCAGACAGAATTGTGGAATCATAGACCCCAGGAGATGTCCATGTGGCAGCCGGGTGTGGAGGTAATCAGAGTGTTGTTGGCTATGGCTATGGACATAGTGTTGTTTCAGTCATTTGTAAATCTGAAATTGCTTGATTGTGATAATTTAATTCTAAAATCTAGATAACCCATTTAGCCAGTTATATCAGTCCATATCAAGAATTCCAGATGAGACAGGACAACCTGGGCTTATTTCAAACAAAACAAAGGCTGAAGAGATGATTCAGCAAATAAAGGTGCTTTATCAGAGCCAGCCTGACAGCCTGAGGTGATTCCCAGTACATACTGGAAGGAGAGAACAAAATCCTGAAAGTTTTTCTATGACCCTATCTTCATGTAATAATAACATATAATAATAATACACATAATTATAATAAAAACAAAATCTAAGGGATTAGCAGGGATGGCTCGGGGCTAAGAGAACTGGCTGCTCTTCCAGAGGACCCTGGTTCAATTCCCGGCACTCACATGGCAGCTCTTAACTGTCTATAACTCCAGTTCTAGGGGACCTGACACCATCACATAAACACATGCAGGCAAAACACCAGTGGACATAAAATGATGGACATAAAATGAATAAATCTTTAACAAAAATTAAAATGCCCCATCTACTCAGTCTTTGCTAGTTTTATGTTTCTGCTCCTAAATGCTAGTGCAGTCAGTCTTTTGTGCATTTCTTAGAAGCAACCCATATACATGAATATTAGACACAGTAAATGGTGGCCTTCAGAGAGGTATCTGGAGTACGAGTTGGCTTAACAGTTTTGAAAGCACGGCAGCACAAAGTAGGAATATGAGAGTGGACTCCGGAAACTGAATGTTCTGTCTACAATGCTTTTCAGGACTCGGCAGCTTTGGACCTTCGAGGGATGGGACAGGTGCTTCCCCCTCACCTGATGGAAGAGCGCCTTATCCGACAGCAACAGGAAATGGAAGAGGACCAGCGCTGGCTGGAGAAGGAAGAGCGATTTCTGGTAACCACACTGCAGAACACTCAGCCCCATCCATGTCTACCTCACACGTTACCGCAGAACTCCATTTCTAAAGCACAAGACTGTCCTTACATGCGGTCCCAAACTCTTGCCATCGTGGGCTGCTTGTTATTTTTGATGATATTTTAGGAATCCATTTCCAAACTTTTGCAGTGTATTATGGCTCAGAGGGTTCTCTGTTTTTTGTTTTTTCTTTGCCACATTGTTTACACAGAAAAGACTTCAGCATTGGTGTGAAGGTAGAACTTTGCATCTCAGCCCTACGGACTACAAGTCCTGTCTGCCTCCTACCCCTGCTGCAGGGTCTGACACACCAATCTGGACCTTGATGAGAACAGTCTTGCAGGCATCTCTTGCTGACATGACAACCCCGTTCAGAAGTCCGTTCAGGATAGAAAGCTCTGATCCTTCTACCGGGGTCTGAGACTAGCTCCTCCTCCACTCCGGCACACCGGTTTTAGGAAACAATGTGGCTGGGAAGAACAAGGGTGATTGCTGCTTCCACAAAGCCTTTCGAAGTAGTTTTACCTGGGGAACCCAAACCTGGTTCCTCATGCTTTGCTGAGTAGTGATTAACCAAGTCACCTGCGTTGGTTAGTTTTTTTTTTTTTTTTTTTTTTTTTTTTTTGGCACCTTGACACAGGCTAGCATTATTTGGGAAGAGGGACTCTCAGTTGAGAAAATTCCTCCATAAAGTTTGTCTGTAGACAAGTCTATAGTGCATTTTCTTAATGGTGATTGATGTGTGTAGGCCCAGTGCCCAGCCAGTGCCATCCCTAAGCAGGTGGTCTTGAATGGTGTAAGAAAGCAGGCTGAGGAATCTATAGAGAACAAGTAGAACTCTTCCATGGCCTCTGCCTCAGTTCCTGCCCCCAGGTGGAGTCTGACCGAGAGTCATAAGATGAAATAAACCCTGTCCTCCCCAAGTTACTGTTGGTCGTGGTGTGTATCACAGTAGAAACCTAAGACACCACCTTAATGTTGCACTTTATGCTACGAGACAAGGCACAGGGAGGGAGAATCTAGCCCTGGTCCCACACTCCCTGAGATCTATGGCTGGAAGCTGTTAGAGCATGTAAGGCAGTGGTTTCCAGCTATACAGATTTCATCAGGGTGATTCTAACTTTATTTGTTGTATATAGCTTTCTTTCTTTTGGGGGGGGGGGTTGTCTCTTAACAGTTGAATCCAGAGCATCGTGCATGTTAATTGCTCTAACACTAATCTACACAGGTTAAAGCATGCTCTACCAGCTTGAACGCAAAGGCTGCTCTGTTTAAACTGAAGTTAAAACAACGAAAGCTTTTATAGTATTACTTCTATTTCAACTTCAGTTGTAGCTCAGACTTCACATTTCACCTGTCTGCCCCTTCAGGACAGTATATAGTCTCTTAACACATGTTCTTATGAAAATTAACAGTGAGTAATAAGGATAGTAAATAGTAATATTGCTTGTATTCACATGGCATTTTAAAGTACAATGTTCCTGTATAAAATAATTTGGTTTTCACAGCCACCCTGTACAATTAGAACATGTCCTTAATCTTTTGTCCAACTCCTTGGGGGCCATGTGTGCCTCAGAATTCACTGTGGTTTTTTTCAACCACTTAGAAAGCTAAAGTATGACACAAGTTATTATTCTAATTCTCCATTAAAATCCCAGAGTCATCCATTTCTTCACAATACATTACAGAGAAATAAACTTAGTTTATTTCCATTTGGTGAGGTTTTACTACTAATTCAGATACCTTTAAAGTAAAACATGAAAGTTTAGACTTTGGGGGTAAGGCTGAGTGAATGAACGTGTGCAGATGTAGAACAGTGGTGTGTCAGCACTGGAACCTGTATTCCACACAGAGTGGCTCTCCAGTATTGCTGCATGTTCTTCTCTGTGGGACTGGGGTTTACTGTGCTGAGCTGCCCTGTGCCTCATCACATGGATTTACACTTTATATCCCTCTGGAGAAAAAAGAGTATCCTGTATTTTCAGGATCTTCAATTAGTTAAGCAGATCTAGATTTTAACTCATGCCACAAAATAAAAATAATAATAGTAATTGTGGTTTAATTCTCCTAATCAGGGCAGTCAATTTGGGAATGAATCTAAGAATAATACACCAATTGTTCTGTGACATGTCTTATGCTTTTTTTATTTTATTTTATTTTATTTTATTTTATTTTATTTTTCATCTTTTGGTCCAGAAAGCTTCTCCACCATACATACACGCACACACACACACACACATACCACCACCACAGCATTTGTTATATTTTAAAAACTGAAAGTATTTGCTGATAAGTTTCAGTGTAGGTGTGGTGTATGTGGCTACACTAAGTAGAGGTTTGCTGCTGATCACTGTGGAATGCTGTCACCAGATTTCAAAGAAAAGAGGATCCCCATGCCTCCTGTGGTGCTGGGGAGACAGCACAGTGCAGATGATGTGTGAGCCAAGGCTTAAAAGAAAAACTGGAATTTGCAGAGCAAACAGGCACAGGAAATACATTCCAGGCAGTGGGAAGGGCGTGGGTAATGACGTGGGGTCATGGGCCTGGCTTAGCCAGATGTGACCTGAGCTGATCTCTTGAGGGAGCTGAGGAATTCTCAGAAGGCTGAGGGTGCCTGCATTCTGCTTCTTGTTTCTCTTGGAGACTGTGTGCATGTGCCACACCTCCTGTTCTGAAGCACATGCTCGGTCCCAGGGTTCTCCAGTGAGTAGCTAGCTGCATTGTGTGTGCAGAGCTCATCTACAGAGCTGAGTATCACCCCAGATGCCTGACTTCAGTGTTCACCTTCCTGAGTCTCCCTCCATGTGTAGCAGCAAGGCCTGCTGAAGTGTTTTCAGTTCTAATGCATCCAGTATAGGTTCTGTAATCTCTGAGGAAGAGGCTGCCTTTGCTGCCTGAGCAAAGTGTTGTCTGTCTGTCTGTCTCAGGTCCTCGACACTAAGCTACCCAGCTGTGCATTTCTGTGTGATGCACTCTGTTGTTAGGACTTTAGCTGCTGCTGTCACAGGGAGCCACTAAATTGTCCAAGATAGCCTTGAATTTACTCACTATGAAGGTTAGACGGTTCCAAACCTGCAGCCCTCTACCCTCAGAGTGAGTGAGGTCCCAGGCCTGAGCCAGCATACCCAGCTTGCTCTCTGTCTTCTAACAGTCACCCTGTGAAGGCTCTCTTTGTCCACTTAGATTTTCTAAGTGCACAACTGAATTGCTCTTTCCATTTTTTTTTTTTTTTTTTAATTAGGTTGGGAATTTATGTCAGTGGTAAGATGCTTGACTAATATGTGTAAGATACTGGGGTTCAACCCTCATATAGGGAAGAAAAAAATCACACGCCTATCATCCTAGTATTCAGCTGACGGAGGCATTGTTGCTGTGAGTTCCTGGCCAACCTGGGCTCTGGGTGGGACCCCATGTCAAAGCTCCTTGGATTTTCTTTCTTCGTTTTCAGTTCTTGGTACAATATTCGTTTTCCTCCTGAAGAATTGCCTGCTTGGGCCTTGTGTTTTTTGCCTGCTTTCATTTAAAAATGTCTATTTCCCATAAGCATGACTGTGTGTTACACGTCCTGCTCATCGTGAGAGGAAACTGTGACCTTGTCTTCTCTCTGCACACAAACCCCTGCTGAGCTGGGCTTAGTTCATCCACAGCTTTGATTGATTGATGCTCATCTGTTGCATGGTTATATCCTGGCACGGTATTTTTGTAGCAGTCACCCACCCCCTCCTCTGTGGTTTTCAAGTCATTTCCCTTATACACTTCGCCTTCTCCCATATTCACCCTCACCAGATCTATTAGTTTTGAGTCTTGCCAACCTCACACTTCTCTAACCATATCAGGTGCCTCACGGGCCCATCAGGTCTGTCAGCATGTGTTAATGAGTAAGACAGTAAGACAGCTGCAGTGCCCATTTGCCTATGGTGAGGAGAAAGTGACAGCGAATTAAGCAGTGGTCAGAGAAGTAGAGAGTTAAGTACTTTGAAAAGAATCTGGAGAGAGGGGTGCCTTTCAGCCCCAGAGAGGGAACAGATGCAGGGTCCCATGGCAAACTTGCAGGGTAGAGCACAGAATGGACACTGTCTTAACCTAATATTTAAAAAAAAAAAATCAGAATGTCTCCTGCTACCTGCCTCTTGCGGTCTTCAAAATGGCTGTCTGCCATTTCTGTGTAGATCCCTTGAAGGAGGAAGGACTCAAGGAGGAGAGGCAAGCAATCCAAGTGGGTGGTGGAGAGAAGCTGTTAGATGAGTGACAACTAAGCTTTACTGGCCCATTTGAGTAGCAATTAAATGTTCTCTGAAATGCTGTCACTCTTGACCGTATTTTCACCACTAAACTGCAGGCTCCTGGGACAGTTGGTGTCCCTCCCATCACCATTCAGGCCCTGTGCTTAGTATAGAAGATGCCAGGCACTGGAGTCAGTGAGCAGTAGATTGTTCCTACCCTCCATGTGTCTGGGCACAGATACACTCTGGTGGGCCACCACTGGGATTTGGGTCCATGCACCCACCGGTCCTTGAGCAGAAGTGCATCTGAGCGGAATGAGGGTTGAGTGTGGTGACTTATGAGTAGGAGAGAGCAGAGCCTGTCTGTCTGCAGAGGATACTCCTCCCACCTCCTTTCCCTCTGCATCTGTCTGTGGACTCCTGCACCACACAGCCATGTCCCTTCTTTTTTGTTTTGTTTTGTTTGTTTTTGTTGTTGTTTTATTTTTTTGAGACAGGGTTTCTTTGTGGCTTTGGAGCCTGTCTTGGAACTAGCAGACCAGGCTGGACTTGAACTCACAGAGATCTGCCTGCCTCTGCCTCACGAGTGCTGGGACATAAGGCCTATGCCACCAACACCCGGCTAGCCATGTACCTTCTTGAAGCACATTATACCTGTGCCCAAACCCTGAACATAGAGGCGCTAGTAAGAGTTTGCAGCTGCTTTAAGAGACCATGCTAAAAGACAGTACAAGAACTGCCCTCTGTTGGATCAGCAGTCTAAATGGAGTATGCCTCTCTTAGAGTGCTGTGTCTGCAGGAAATGGGAGTCTTCTCGAGTGTGTAGATCATTATCGATCAGTACTCTTACGAAATACAAATCAATTAATAGAAAAATAGTATTCGTAAAGAAATAAAATACACAAGCCAAATTTCCTTATTTCTTTTGAATGTTGTCCTTTGTGTATGTGTGTGCGTGTGAATGTGGACTTGTTCCTGCTTGCTATGTACAATGGATATGTAGATAACTTTGAGAAGTTGGTTCTCAACTCCTACCATGGACTGCAAGGCCTAAGCTCAGGTTCAGGTTTGCAATGCAAGCACTTCCACCTCCTGAACCATCTCACAGGCCCAGACTGCCTTATCAACTCCGGCATCCTAAAAAATAACTGTCTGTGGAAGCTTCCGAAGACATCCACCATGTCCCCTGTGGTGAACTGGGCAGTGTTTGTGGGTTGCACTCCTCATTGTGAGCAGATAGACTCTGTTACTTGGAAGTTGACTATTTCTGTCCATAAGTCTCCAAATTTTCTTTCACTGGATGACTATTGCTTGGAAGACTTAGGTTTCCAGAACTGGTACTAGGTTTTGAGGTTATTGCTAGTGGCTGCTACTGTCAGCCACTGAATCGTTTACCAAGTGTTTGGGTGGGGCAGGGGTCTCTCCTCAGATCGTAGTCCTGCACAGAATAATTTTGGTGACAGCATCTCCTGCCTGAGGTCACATGCCCTCATAATGGCAAATGCTCTCTGTTCAATTGTACTTCTCTTATCCCCAAATCAAGACTGTGACCTTTCTTAGATGGCCTGTGCATGTGAGTCACTGCTGTACAGCTCTCGCTAACAGACTCCTTTTCCAGAATGCTGGCAGCCAGGGCAGAGCTACAGTCTGATGAGAAACCTTGTTTTCCTTCTGAGCACTGCTTAAAATAGTGACTTGGCTTATTACTGTGCACAGTACTAAAAAAGGACTTTTTGTAAAGTTTAAAATGTGGAAGTCCTGTCTACATAAAGCCTATTCTGTGTTCCTCTCACACACACAGTAGACCCAGTCAGCCCCAATGGAAAAAACAGAGAGGGAGCTAGAGCATAGTAACAAAAGGCTGCCTGCCAGAGAACAGGAGTCCTGGGCAGAAGGCCTCTGTGTTGAAAGCCTTAGGTATTTTCTAGCAACACACGTGTGGAATCAAGAGCTGACCTATTTGTTGCTGAGACTCAGGTAGAAGCAGCAAGCCAAAATAGTGCAAGACCCCAAACTTCATAGCAGATCCCCATCCCAGTCATCAGAAGGCAATTCTGACCAGGCATATGACTCTGGCAGAAGAAATGCAGGGCCTTAACCCACACATGGCTCAGTGTACACAGGCACTTGATACCAAGCCTGAAAACCGGAGTTTGACTCCTGAGACCCACATGGTTCAAGGAGAGAACCAACTCCCTCAGGTTGTCCTCTAACTTCTACTCATGCTCCATGGCATGTGCATATGCACATGTTAAATACACACTAAGTATAATGAAAGTTACTTAATATTTAAGGAAGATAGAAATCATCCAAAGTGCGCCTAAAATTTGACACTGTGGTAGACATAAACTCACTGGTAGGACACGTGTCTAACGTGTTACATTCCTGTCGTCACTTGGGAGCACAAACAGCACAATGACAGTTTCTCCTAGAGATGGTTCTGGGTAGAGAACCATCTGGGTAGATGATACTGTAGTTGAGGTGGGATTACTATCTTTGAGAGTTGGGTATAAAATGATAGACTTAAGTTCAAATATCTGACAATAACATACACATACCAAATGAAATTATCTTGGCTTTTGTTTTCATCCCTAGAAACCTGACGTGAGGCTCTCTCGAGGCAGCATCGACAGGGAGGACGGGAGTTTTCAGGGTCCGGTAAGCATCTGCCTGTACTTTGCTGTTGCATTGTAAGGCATCCAGGCATATTGACATTCATGACCTGAGATAGAATGGCCTTTGTGTAAATAATGTGAATGTTATCTTAAGACCATCAAAATATGCCATGTACCAGATTCTTTGACTACTGCCCCATTGCTGATACAGACTTACAGCAGTAAGCTGAGCTCTTCTACTGTGAGGACTAGAATAACAGCTACACACAGTTCTGATTTTGCTAAATTTTTATACACTTTGTTTTTCTGGTTTGGTTGGGGTTTCTAAAGCAGGGTCTCATGTAACCAAGACAGACTTCAAACTCGCCATTTGAGGTTGACCTTAAACTCCCTCCTGCCTCCTGGGATGACAGGTGTGTTCAAGCAATATGTTTTTCTGGTTGTATGGACAGAAACATCTGTGTTCTCTTTAAACAGCTATGCCCTTTAATGTCCTGGGTCTGTTTCCCAGAACCACTAAAAATTAGAGAGTTTCTCCATGTGTGGTGACACATGCTTGTTGTCTTGGAATCTTAAGATGCTGAGGCAGAGGCCTGGAGAGATGACTCAGTAGTTAAGAGTGTTTGCTGTTCTGTTATGAGGACTCAAGTTCAAATCCCAGCCTCATGTCATGCCTGTCACTCCAGTTCCAAAGGATCTCTTTTGGCATTGTTAGGTACCTGTCACACGTATGTATACAGTTATAAATACACATGCACAAGTACACGCGTGCGCACACACACGAACACACACACACTTTAAAACTTAAAAATCATTTTTTTAAAAAATGATGCTGAGGCAGGAGGAAGGCTCAATTAAGCTTAGGATTTTCTGCCCTGACTAGGCATCATAGTAGAATCTATCTTAAAAATCTAACTATACTAGTTACATTTTAGTTGTGATAAAATGCCATGACCAGGGCAATTTATAAAGAAAAGTTTATTTGGGGCTTATGGTTCCGAGGGTTAGCATCCATATGGTAAAGGCAGTGTGGCAGCTGGAACAGCAAGCATCAAGCAGAGAAAGCAAATTAGAAATGGTGTGGTGTCTATAAATTCTCAAAGCCTGTCTCCAATGACACACTTTTCCTTTTAGTAATTAACTAAATAATTTTTCCCAGGCCAATTGGTTTCCTTCCCTGCCTCCTCTCCTCCCAGTCCCTCTGCCCACCCCAGCCCCATCTACTCACTCTCCCTTCCCATGGATGTCAGCCAGCTATGGCATTTCAAGTTTCAGCAAGATTAGGCACCTCCTCTCCCATAATGGCCGGCTCAGGCAACAGAGTGAGAGACAGCCTCTGTTCCCTCTGCCAGGCATCCTGCAAGAGGACCAGGCTACACAGACTTCTTCAACAAGGCCTGACCATCTCAGTCTTGAGGAGGAATGGTCTGTGTTTCATCTCCCCCTTGTTTTTTTGAGAGGGGGGGGTCTCTCTAGGATATTCTATGTATATATGTATGTGTAGGTGTATATGTACATATGTATATGTATAGCCTAATAAGAGCTTCATCACATTTAGTTAGACTTTAATACATTTTTTTCCCTGTTCTCCAGTGTTGGGCATTCAACCCAGATGTTCACACATTCTGTCAGGCATTAATTATTAATTCAGGTATAGTTTCAGAAGTTGGATGTAGTAGCATTTATCCCAGGTCTTGGAAGGTAGAGACAGGAGAGTCAAGTTTAAAAACAGCCTAGACTACATAAAAAGATCCTGCCGTCACAGATAGAAGCATACATTTATATAGTTTTAGACAGTACAGCTGGAGAAGCACTTGTCTTAGGTAGAACTGTCTTTTTATCCCTCAGTGAATAAAAAGATTCAGGACTGTCTGAGAATTGAATTTCCCGACAAGGCCTGTGCAGTGGCCTAGATGACACTGGGTCCTGACAGCACAGTGCTTCAGGGTCAGTGACACTGGGACATCTAGCAACTCGTATAAATAGCCATGTCTTCTGCTACTGTACTTGTGACTGTATCCTTACTGTGATCTGAGAGATCAGCCGGAGAAGTGGAACCCTAAGCAGCCAGCACGTAATGAACAATGGGAACTTGAGATGCTGTGCTCGATCTGAGAGTATCCCAAATGCAGTGGTTACTTGCACTATCACACCCAGCTGAGGCTGTCAGGCATCCTGAGACTCTAGCAGAGAGTTCACGGTGAAGAAGAGCAGGGCAAGAGATGTGGGCTGTCACATCTGGCACACAGCAGTACACTGACCGAGCTTTTCTTCTCCACAGACTGGAAATCAGCACATCTATCAGCCTGTGGGGAAACCAGGTAAGTGAAGAAAACACTGGTGTGAGTAAGTATGTGTGGTCTGGCAGGAGTGGGATTTGAATGTAATGCCCTATAGTGTTCACAGTCTCCCTCTACACCCAGCATGGTGATCACTACATTAGGCCTGTGCCTAGAGTGCCGGAAAGCTGGGCGTGCTAACATAAACCGTCAGAGGCCCGTTCCTAGAGCATGAGCATCCTGTGTGCTGTAGCAGTGCTGCTAGTAATGAGGTTGGGGTGCTTGGAAGTCTGCCCAATGTGTAATGAGGACCCTTTTACTTTCCCAGATCCTGCAGCTCCACCAAAGAAACCACCACGCCCTGGAGCGCCTGGTCACCTAAGCAACCTGGCCACCATCAGCAACCCTGGGGACAGCTACAATGAGGGTGTCAAGGTGGGCATCTAAGCCTGTGCAGCTTAGTTGGTTCCAGGTTGGTGGGGTCACTGAGTCCTCCGCATGTGACACTTATGTTGTAGTGGTCAGGGATGTCCCCAAGGAGACCATAAAAAGACAGGATTTAACATCCCTTGTTCTGAACCTCTGGAGCTTCAAACAGTATTAACTGAACTGTTTTCTGCTGTTCTCTGAGCATGCTAGACTTGAGGGGCTTTATACCAGCATCCCCTCCCAGATGGGAACAAACGAGACAGATACTCCTCATTTTAAACATGAAGCCAGGATGCCTGGGATAAGTGGGTCCTCACTATTTTCTACACATAATTATAAATACAGCTTTGTGGAAAGGTATTTTCCATTTCAGCTCAGGATTGTGCTTATAAAAGGACTGCTGGAGGCTTCCTCAAACCACACCAAGCATTTGATTCTTGGAGGGACTCCTTAGTCCCTTTTAGGGTTGTGTCACCAAACATCACTATCTGGCTTCCCTGGGTCCCCTTGTCTCTGAGGACAGGAAGGAAGTGCCCACCCTACAGCCTTCACCCCTGTCTTCTCGTCCAGCGCTTCAGGTGGGACCACTTCATTCCCCACATCATGACAGGCTCCCTCTCCCTGGGTCCCATTTTTCAGTCTTACACAAATTGTTTTGCATTTTAATAGCTCTAAAATAGGGGCAGGATTTGTTTCTTGGTGGTTTAGGTTTTTGTTTTTATTTTGTTTGTTTATTTGCTTGCTTGCTTTTTTTTTTTTTTTTTTTTTTTTAATGAGGGACTGAGGGATGGATTAGTTGGTGAGGTACTTGCCACCTAAGCATGAAGATCTGAGCTCAGTTCTCAGAGTCATGTCAAAATAGTAGGTGTGGTAACATGTGCTCAAAATCTTAGTAGTAGGGAGCAGAGACAGACTGATATTTAGGTCTCACTGGCCATTTACACTAGCACAATCAGTGAACCTCAGATCCCAGTAAGAGCCACTGTCTGAGAAAAATAAAGACAAGCTAGATGGACATGGTGTTGCAAGCCTTTATCCTGCACTCTGGGGTCAGAGGCAGCAGTCCTCTGTGAGTACAAGGCCAGCCTGACAGTAGTGCAGTAATGTGAGACCTTGTCTCGAAATAGTAAAAAACAAAAACAAAACAAGATGAATGGCAGCTGAGGAGCAGTAGCTAAGGGTGACCTCTGGTCTCCATGCGTGTGCATAAAATCATGCACACTACAAAATGATACGTCATTCATGTGGGGGCATGTTCCTGTGATCCCAGCCCTCAGGAAGCAAAGCAGGAAGGTTGTTTTCAAGGTCAGCCTGGGCTGTATAGAGTGACTATTGTCTTTTAGGAAAAGGTGCCTGTTGTAATGGATGGCACCTTAGATCTGATGAGTATGAGCAGCCGTTTGGTGCTGTCTCCACCGCTTGCAGTGACAGACTTCCCCATTGAGCCTTGCCATCAGTTTCACACGGTTGGTGGTGGTCACATCTTTCATATTAATAACCTTGGTTCACACAAGTGGAACAGTTTATCAAGGTCACACAGAGCCAGTAATTGGCACCATGTACTGCATACTGATCAGAGTGATGTGATGTCATCTCAGTGAGAGTCAGGTTGGTCTGTGGCTCTGAGGGACCCTCACCATGTCCATTCCCATAGATTTACTATGGTACAGATTAGCATACTCATGCAGTTATATTGAGTAAACACAGCTGGACTAGGGTACCCCTGCTAAGGGGATCGGTCCTACAACACCTGCTAGCTGTTGTCAGCTCCATGAAACCAAGCAGCTTCTCAGCAGCTACCCACAACACTGCATCTTCTTGAAGAAGAAACAGGCAAACCCACAAATCTTCCTAATACTGTGTGTTTAGCTCTAAATGAGAAAGGAGAAGTTAGAGCAAAAAAACTGTTCGCATTTTCACAAGATGAGAGCAGACCTTTGAACTGTCTTGTGTTACAATGAATAGCTGGCCCTTATCTTACTCCATAGTTCATGATGAGAGTAATATCATAATGAAGTGTACCTAAGAATACCATTCATACAAGATGTTGCATAGGGTGAAATCTTGTGAGAAAAATAGACTGACTCTGCCAGGTGGTAGTGTCACACACCTTTGTTCCCAGCACTTGGGCGGCAGAGGCAGTCGATTCTATGAGTTCCAAGACAGCCAAGGCTGCACAGAGAAACCCTGTCTCCAAAAAAGAAAAAGGAAGAAATAGATAAGTTCATCCAGATGAAGATTATGTATCTTTTATCTCTTTTTTCATTATTTTCTTAGTACAGGTAGTTAAACCCATCCTAAAGGAACAATATTGGGCTTTTTTTTTTATATTGTTTTTAAACAATGTTTTGATAAGAAAAAGTTTGCCTTGAACTATTTGTAACTCAAATAGTTCACACAAATAACATTTAGTCCAAAAAGTGTCCAGTTTTCTTTGTGGGCTTTTCTTTTTGTAGTTCTACTGTTTCCCAGTGCTTGTGCTAGGCAGGCAATTCACCACTGAGCTCACATGTTGTGCTTTTCTTTCTCTGGGTTTTAAGCAGAGTAGGAATTGACTATTCTGATGGGTGGTGATTTTTTTTTTTTTTTTAACTGTCAACCCAGGAGTTTCTAAGTTATCAAAACTCTGAATAGTCGGGTAGTGGTGACTCACGTCTTTGGTCCCAGCACTCCGGAAGCAGGCAAATCTCTGTGAGTTTGAGGCCAGCCTAGTCTACAGAGTGAGTTCCAGGACAGCTAGGACTGTTTACACAGAGAAACCCCCACAACAAAAACAACAAAACGAAGCACCTCTGGACAATAAAAATCTGTAATGAATGTTTCTCTAGCCATGTCTTGACTTCTGGCATGCTACTGTGAAGGTCCTAGAGAATGGTCACAGTGCAAAGAATGTTGTACAGAAGGAAGAGAGACTTTAGGCAACTTACACTAAGTTTCCATTGGATAGCCTCCAGGAAGCCTATGCACCTTCCTGTGCTAGTATAGTTTTAGTGCACTGCCTGTGAAGAGAAACAGATACTAACTACACTGTAATTCCCAGTGCCCAGGAAACCTCTGGGTGTTCACACTTCGGAACTAAAGACTCTGTGAGGTGTATGGTGAGATGGTGGCTTTTACACAGGTCCATAGGTGGCAGGCTGCTGTACTTCCCATGCCAATCTGTTCACAGTAAGATAGCCAGGGGTTGAACTGAGGAGACAAAACAGCAAAGCTACCCTCTTTACAGAACAAAAATGTGAGCCTGATTTACACCAATAATCCAAACATTTTGATATACTGAAGCAAGGGGATTGAGAATTTGAAACTAGCTTAGGCTGCATAATAAAATCCTGTCTTTAAAAGATTTTAAAACTCATACACACAAAACATAACTCCAGAAATGTGGTTAAGAGTAAAGATAAGCTTCTGAAGTAGACACAGCCCCTGCCTAGAAGTCCAACTTAGACATCAAGGACTTGAAGGCTGAGAGATCATGTGCAGTGACTGAGGATGGATGGTTTCCCCCAGTCTCCTGTCAGATGATAGATCACTGATGACACCTGTCAGGTGGTAAATCACTGATGACACCTGTCAGGTGGTAGATCACTGATGACACCTGTCAGATGATAGATCACTGATGACACCTGTCAGGTGGTAGATCACTGAAGACACCTGTCAGGTGGTAGATCACTGTAGACACCTGTCAGGTGGTAGATCACTGTAGACACCTGTCAGGTGGTAGATCACTGATGACACCTGTCAGATGATAGATCACTGTAGACACCTGTCAGGTGGTAGATCACTGAAGACACCTGTCAAGTGGTAGATCACTGATGACACATGCCCTTCCCCTTGCTCACAAAGAGCTTGCTCTCTAGACTCTTGCACGGCTACCGGTTGCCACTCACAGGCTTTTGCATGCTGGTCATTTATCTCATGGGAATGAATGCTGCATGGCAGGGGTCAAGTAATGTGCTATGCAAAGAGCTGATGGCAGGTGCAGGCACTTCTGACAGCCAGTGAGCAGAGAGTACCCGTCAGGCTTGTAGCTAGTACCCAGGTGTTCTGCTCATGTGTTATATGGGAGTTTTCTGCTGCCTTATTAATATTGTTTTTCTTTTTTCCCTTTCTCTGATAAATTCCTTTAACTTTTCCTCACCTTCTGTTCGACAATAGCCGTGGAGGGTAAGCACATCATATCTGTGTGTCTGTCTGGATTGCTTTATCACACCCGGCTTTCTGCATGTGACTCTGGACAGGCATGTGGATAGCCCTGTGGGAGGACACACTTGCTTTGTTTGTCATCTCTCATGACAGGCAGATGCCAAAAAGAGCTTTCACATTTTTCAGAGAGATGACCAGCTTTGCAGTGAACTCAGATGCAAGTGTCTGCTCCAGCGTGCCTTGCCAAGGCATCCAGAAACTGGCATAGCTTGAGGACCATAGCAGACCCGTAATTGGATTGTGTTATACAATTTAGTCTCTCTTAAATTTTGAAGCACTACTCAGCCTTTCCTATGGGCCCCGTGCCATTTTGTGCTCAGCATATAGGACATCATAGGTAGTATTTGTGGCATCTCTGTGCCCAGGCCCTGCGTCATGTTTACAGTCTGTGGCTTAATATGCTTGTCCTCGTTACTGCTGGAGGAGCTGGGTCCTGCTGTCCTTGATTTACCCAACAGTCAGCATAGGACTGGCAGGAAGTCCCTTCTCTGCTACTTGAATATGAGTAGCTCTATGTAAGCAGCTGGTGTTTGCCTAAAGCAAGTGCATGTGAGTCCACATTTATCGTCATGAAGGCAGTACTTAACTGTTAGTGTATGAAGGCAGCAAAGCTGAGTAGAACTTAAAACCAGTGGTGATCCTTAGTGTTGATGCTGAGTGATCATGTAGTGATGCATTAGTCACTGTCCTGAAATTCAATGACTCCTTGGTTATAAACTCTGTGGGTTGTGCTAGCTTAGTGGTTAAGAAAACTACCGCTCTTCCAGAGGTACTGAGTTCAATTCCCACCAACCACATGATGGTTCACTATCATCTGTTATGAGATCTGGCGCCCTCCTCTGGCTTGCAGGGATACATGCAGACAGACACTATATACATAATAAATAAATCTTTAAAATAAATTTGTGGGTTGTTTCCCTTGTGAATGACTTGGGAGTCTTGGGCACTTAATTGCACTTTGAATCTGGAGACTTTCGTGTGTGTGATTTCATCTCATTTCCTTTAACTGAGCTCAAAGTTGGAGGACTTAAGTGCCTCGTGTGTTGTCCCTTGGATGACTTGCTTTACTGTCATCAAACAAGAAAATCCATTACCTTCTGCATCTGCTTTGATCTCTTTTAAAGACCCTTAGCTTAATTGTGGTGATACCTCACTGTCTTCTGGGGAGCAGGAAATGACCAGCTTCTGTGTTATCAGCTTCAGCCCCAGGAAATCAGCCCTCCTCCCACTGCCAACCTGGACCGGTCCAATGACAAGGTATATGAGAACGTGACGGGCCTAGTGAAAGCTGTCATCGAGATGTCCAGCAAAATCCAGCCAGCTCCTCCGGAGGAGTATGTCCCTATGGTGAAGGTAATACAGCCACTCTGTATGGTGAGGGTGACCTCCTTTCCAGGGAAGCCAGAGCTGATGCTCTGGATGTGAAGGACCGCCAGATGGTGACGGTGTCACTGAGAAGCATCCTTAGAAATTGCTGTAGCTCTCACTTGCTCCTGCCAGCAAGTACTAGGCTGGGAATGCAACCTGAATTGGTAGTCCTCTGATTACTGTTGCACAGGTTGTGTGGAATGTTGCATAAAGTCGCTGTCCCGTGTTCGACTGAAGGAAGCAGTGTGGCAGTGCCTCCGTCCCTAGACGCCCTTCTGAGGCAGCGGGACACTGCAGTGTCTGGTGCGGCCACCTTGTTCTCAGTATGTCCTGGGGATTGAATGCAAGCCATTTTACTTGCAAATCAAGTACTTAACTACCTGCTTTATCAGCTCTGCCCCTGTGTTTCTCAAACTAAGGAGTGAGTAAAAGTAATAATAATAATAATCCTGTCCTGGGTGGTCCCATTTACTCAGAAGGCTGAGGCAGAGCAACCATGTGAGTCCCAAGAATTCTGGACCAGCCTGAAAGAAACCCTGTCTTGAGAGGGGGGAAATAAATAAGGGAACAAAGGTATGACAGTAACAGCTTCCCAGGTGATGATGTGCGTGATACTGGAACGTGGGAAAGGAGAGTGTATTTTTCAGGGGTTATTCCTTAGAAGCCATCCATCATGGGCCTGAAATTCACAGAACAGGCCATGCTAGCTGGCCGGTGAGCCCTTTTCTCTGCCTCCCCAGCACCCACATTACAAGCACATGCTACTGAGCACAGCGTTAGTTGAACTTGGATGTTGGAAATGGGATGCTTTCAAGGCACGCCATCTCCTCAGCCTGTGCTTCATTGTTTGTGAAGCAGCCAGCCTTTCCACAACAACTGTACCTTTTTACTTTGCTACAGCAGTGCTCAAGGGTGTCATTTCTGTGTTCTGTGATTTGATTATCCTGCCGTATGAGGTCCTGTCTCATTGTGGTTTTGATTTGCACAGCAAATGCAAAGGAGTATCTTTCCATGTGCTTTTTGGTCGTTTAGATAAATTTAGAGAAATGCTCACTTTTTGCCTGTGTCTTAAGTGTGTGTGTGTGTGTGTGTGTGTGTGTACATACATACATACATGGTTTTTTGTTTGGTTGGTTTTTTTTGGTTTTGATGGAGCTGTGGGATTGAACACAATCTCAGTCTAGGTGTAGGCATTCTTTGTAATGCTAGCAAAGCTGATGAGGAGATGCGCTGCACTTAATGCCCCATGTTCCCTTAAAAGGCCTGGCCAAAGTTCTTACATGAACCACAGCCAAGCTGGAAAAGCAAAGAACTATGTATGTGTCTCAGCACTTAAGAGCAGGGGTTGTTCTTTTAGAGGGCCCAGGTTCAATTCATAGCACCCACATACTGGGTCACAAACATCTATAACTCCAATTTGAGGGGTCCAGTACCTTCTTCTGACCTCCAAGGGCACTTAGACATATGGTGCACAGACAAGCATGCAGTAAGATCACCCATAAAATAAAAATAAAATCTAACTAACCCAGACCCCCTGAACGTGGGTCTCAGTTACAAGGCCTGGGCAGTCTACGGGACCTCTGACAATGGAACCAGGATGTGTCCCTGGTGCACGAAAGGACTTTGGGAGCACATTCGTCATGGAGGGATACTCTCTTAACCTAGAGGTAGGAGGGAGGGCCTAGACCCTACTCCAAATGACTTGACAGATTTTGATGATCCCTCCTGGAAGGCCTCACCCTCCCTGTGGAGTGGGGGGAGAGAATGGGGTGGGAGGGGGGTGTCAGGGGGAGGGGCCATGGGAGGAACAGAGGGAGAGGGAACTGGGATCGACATGTAAAATAAGAAAAAATAATAATTAAAATATTAAATCTAAAAAACAAACTTCTACATATATTCAAATATGTTTCAGCCAGGTGGTGCACACCTTTAATCCCTGTGCTCAGGGCACAGATACACGTGGCTGTGTGTGCTTCAGGGGCAGCAGCTTGTTGTGTAGTGGCACTGCTGCCTCTTAGTTTGTGCTCCATGAGGGCCCTGATAGGACAGAACTGCCCAGTAACTTGTTAGAGCACCTCTACTGCTGGCAGGTCAGGCATCAGACTAAGATAGCCAGCAGAAACTTTTGTCTTCTGGTCCAAGCATAAATGTCATTTCTCACAGTTTGTTGTTGTTGGATCATTTTCATTGTATTCATATTTACAGTTTGGTGTTCAGTACCTGTGCATTTGACCCTCATAAGAGTGAATGAAATGGGGCTGGAGAGATGGCTCATCGATCGGTTAAGAACTCTGGCTACTCTTCCAGAGGACCCAAGTTCAATTCCCACCACCCACATGGCAGCTCACAACTGCCTGTATCTCCAGTTCCAGGGGATCTGACACTCTCACACTAATGCACATGAAATTAAAAAGTTCAATAATGTTTTTTTTTTTTTAAGTGACAATAAAGCTGGGCAGTGGTGGCACACACCTTTAGTCCCAGCACACAGGAGGCGGAGTTAGGTTGATCTCTGTGAGTTTAGGCCAGCCTGCTCTACAGAGTGAGTTCCAGGACAGTCAGAGCTACACAGAGAAACTCTATCTTGAAAAGGCAAAACAAAAAAAGAGTGGATATAATTGGCTGGGTCGTGGTGGTGCATGACTTTAATGTCAGCACTTGGGAGGCTGAGGCAGGCTGATGGATCTCAGTGAGTTTAAGGCCTGATCTACAGAGTAAATTCCAGGACAAGGACTATACAGAGAAACCTGTCTCAGGAACATAAATAAATGAAAAGAATGACAATAATTAATAAAGGAGGGGAAATCTGGGAGGTATTTTCAGAGGGGAAAAGGTGACGTACATACATTGAATGAAAACATTTTTTTTTTCCAATTAAAGGAAAGTTTCTTTAAAAAGTTGGGGCTGAGGGGAAGGTTGTTCAGTGGTTAAGAGCACTTGCTATTCTTCCAGAAGAACCAGGTTCAATTCCCAACAGCCTCATGGTGGCTTACAACTACCTGTAACTCCAGCTTGTGCACCTGATATCCTTGTACTCTGGAGGGAGAGGCAAGAGAGTCCTTTCTTGATAGTGTTTCAGTGTATAACCCATTCTGGTTGGCCATGGATTTCATAGATCCTTCTTCTTTTCCTCCCAAGTGCTGGCGTTATGGGTGTACACATGTGAGCCATCATACTTGGCCCATTGTTTGTTGGGACATAGTTCTTCCGTTCAGGCATTTTTCCACCCCCCCCCCCTTTCCTCTCCCTCCTTCCTCAATGCCAAAAGTGTTGGAATTACAGGAGAATGTCTCCACACCCCTGCCCTTTTCTTTACTACTTCTGCTTAGTTTTGGGTGGTGTGTAAAATTCAAAATGAGCTCCCAAGTAGGTCCACCTTGCCTCCCCGTGGTCGCACCTCCTCGTTAGGCAGATTCAATGCACAGGAACAAAGGCGTGCCCTTTATCAGCATGTCTGAACTGCGAGGGTGCCACAGTCTGCTTGGGAAAGAGTTGCTTTCCATGTTGCCTATGTGCTGTTTTTCCACTCTTGTTCTATTTGGAGGGGCCTGCCACTCAGCTACCAAATAAATCATACACAGCAGCTTATTCTTAACTATGAATGCCTGGCCTTAGGTTGACTTGTAGCTTAAATTAACCCATCTATGTTTTGCCTCTGGGCTTTTTCTTTTTCTTACTTGTGTATGTATTAATTTCACTCTTAACCTTGGCTTCTTCGGTGGCTGGCCCTGAAATCCTCCCCCTTGCTCTGTCTTACTCATTCTATCTTGCTCTTAGATCCTTCCTCTTATTCTACCTGCCAGCCCGGCCCTGCGTATCCTTTCTCCTGCCTCGGTATTGAGTATTCAGCTCTTTATTAGACTATCAGATGTTTTAGACAGGCAGAAAAACCACAGCTTCACAGAGTTAAACAAATGCAGCATAAAAGAATGCAATACATCTTTGCATCATTAAAACAAATATTTCACAGCATAAACAAATGTAACACACCTTAAAGTAATATTCCACAACACCTGTGGGAGCTTCTGATGTGAGCATCTGCCCTGGACATGAGAGCCAAGGATAGTCAGATCTGAGTCTTCAGGGTTGGGAGCCTCATAACTGTTGTGCCCAAATTCTGAACCCCAAAACCCCAGAGACCCACTCCGATGAAAAGCAAAGAGTTTTACTGTTGTTTAACGAATTAGCTATTTTTAACTCTGGCCCCTCATCCGTTCATGCCAGTGTGGAAAGAGAAGGGCCCCAAGAAGCCACAAGGCGGGGAAGTTACTGGGCAGCATAAGGGGAGTCCCTAGGGGTGCAATCTCAGGATTGGTGTGCTTCCAGGCTTGGAGAACCTGTCCTGTGCTGATTGGTCACCTGGTTGTTATGTCCTGCATGCCACTTTTACTGTAAAGAGTTTCCAGAGCCCACCAGCTAACTTCTGATTGGTTCCTTGTCACATGTAGGGCATCTGACCTCCTAGTGACTGGGGCAGCTCCAGCCAGGTTAGAAGGCGGGAAACCAAGCACACGTACTGAGTCAGGGACTCTGGCTTGTTAGGTCTTTCCTGCAGCCCATCACAGATGCTAAAGCAGGGGCTGGTGAGGGTCTGGTCCCTTCAGTGTTCACAGCAAACACAGACTTATGTGTTCCTTAGATATGGCCTGTGTATGGTGGCTCAGTGTTTGAGAGGCTGAAGGGGGAAATTACAGTGAGTCTAGGCCAGCCTTGGCTACAGTGTGGTACCCTATCTAAAATAAAAATTCCTCACAACCGTCAGAAAGGAGAACAGCAAGGAACATGCCCGAGAGAAAATAGCAGTGTTGGCCTGACATCTTCCTTTTTCCCTAATCCTTATACCATTCTTGTCTTAGGAAGTTGGCCTGGCCCTGCGGACCTTACTAGCCACTGTGGATGAGACCATTCCAATCCTCCCAGCCAGCACGCATCGAGAGGTAGGCACAGTGATGGGTGGGATCGTGCTAGAGCACAGGTTTAAAGCTGCTTAGTCAGCAAAGTGCCGGAGATAAACAACTTAAGTTCCAGAGATTCCAACCTATGCGCACCTGGCTCCATTGTGTCTGTCCTGTAGAGTGTCGGCATGACGGAACAACGGCATGCTAGTCTGGAAGGACAGGGAGAGTGCAAGCCTTCAGACAAGACACGCCCTCAAGAAGGAGCTCTCTGGGTGATCACCTCCACCAGGCACCACCTCCTCCTATCCACATGTCTCAGCATTTCCCTGTAAACGACATACCAACGTCCTCTTAATGAGTCTCCAGTTGCTTTAAGGACCCAAAATTCATCCGGGATACTGTTCCCACAACAGTCACATGTATCCCAGACCGGGTACACACTGAAACGTCTTTCCTGCTCCACTGGCCAGAGTGCTAGATGACAAAGTAGCTGCCACCATGCTCATCCTTGGCGTCCATATAGTACATTTATCTCATCTGTGTGAGTTCTAAATGAAAGGCGCCACAACCCTTCTCCACCAATTCCTTTCATCTTTCTTTTTCTCCTCCTCTTCCCCTTTTGGCTTTTTAAAACAGGGTTTTGCCATATAGCTCTGGCTATCCTGGAATTCACCTTATAGAACAGGCTGCCTCTGCCCCCCAGTTGCTTGGATTAAAGGCGTGTGCCAACACCACCTGGCCCCCTTTCCTCCTTCAACCTGGCCTGCCTAGAGTTGGGTTTTTTTTTTTTTTTTCTTTAATAATAATAAGTAAAAAGGTTTTTATGTTGTATGTTGTTTTGCCTGCATGTGTGTGTGCAGTCCCCTTGGAGGCCAGGAGAGAGAGTGATATATCTCCTAGAATTTAGGGATGGCTGTGAGCTGCCATGTGAGTGCGCCTGGGACTCTGGAAGAGCCCTCAGTGCTGTGAAATGCTGACACATATCTCCATCCCCTTGCTCTTTACTTTGAAAAGATTTTCAGACTTACAAAAACTTTCCAGATTAATAATGCAAATTTTCAAACATCCTCTGTTTGCAGTGCAAGTGTAATGCACATGTCAGCACTTCATCATATTTGCATCCTCTCTCCCAGCCATCCACGTAACCATGACACCAGGGATGGCCTACTGTATACCCATCCTGCATCTGTAAGCTCTGAGCCTCTGGTTACTATAGGTTACTATAAGCCTCTTCCTGCTAGGTATGCTGAGAGCCTCTCACCTGTAAGTCAGGGGCTGCTTGGGTCGTGTGCTTTGAATGGTCCTGTCTGTCCATCTCTATGTAACTTCTGCTCATCTGGAAAATGGCTGCTTTCTCCTTCTCTTGTGTGGTATCAAATTTTGGAGTGTGGAAAACTTTTTTTCTTTGTTGTTGGTGATGTGTGTGTGTGTGTGTGTGTGTGTGTGTGTGTGTGTGACTTGTATGTATGTTTTCAAGGCTGTTCAAATTGGTCTGCCCTTTTCTGGGGAAGGCTTACTTGTCACACTCTGGGCATTCCTTAGTTGCCTGTAGTTATTCATGTAGGGATGCGGCCTCATGGGCTTCCCAGCCATTCACATTAGCACATCTCTTGCTGTGATCCTTGTTCAGCTCCTGTGTAGGCAGCACTAAGAGCCAGAGAACAGGGAATTTGTTGTGAGACTACCTCTCTCCTAGGACTACCAGATGCTACGTCCATCGTCTTACTAGCATAGAGCTTTTTGAGGCGGGTCCTCACTAAATGTGGCCTACGTTGCCTTGGAAGTCGAACTTGAACCCCTCCTTCCCAGCCTCCCCAGGGCCAGAATTACAGGTGTGCACTGCCATACCCAGCTGACACTGGCATTTTCTAATAACCCAGGCTAAAGGATTCTATGTTCTTCCCCTTTTCTTCCCCAGGCAGTGTCTTCACCTGAGACATCCATCCCTCATGCCCCATCTTGTCATAGAAAACCACTCAGCCCAGTGAAGAGGGCGTAGTGGGCAACACTCCATGTGGTTGTGAGTTACTTAGCCCACATGTCACTGGTCACTGTAGGTCATCTCATTCTACAGCACTGTCCTTTCCCCTGAACTGTGAAGCCTGTCATGTCCCATCCTTTCATTCAGCCTTCATCCTGCTATCAAAGCCATCTCTCTAGAACAGTTGTCTAGATTTATCACTCTCCTTCCCTGATTGTACACATCAGCTTGAGCAAGGTAAAGGTCAGCTTGGCATAGTCTTTGTAGTTGAAACTTGCCTACTTGTGCAGTCTAGTCCAAATCCAGCTGTTCTTTGTAAGGTCTTTCTGAGGCAGAGGACTAGCTCTCCATGTGAGTTTCAGGATTTCCCTGCAGGCCTCTCCCACCAGGTCTAATTTCCTCCTTCATCCACAGCCCAAAGTTGTCATTACCCTGGGTTCATCAAAAAAGGCAGATGTCTCAGTCCTACTTACCATTTACTGAATGACCAGGAAGGCTGGTGTGGTGGTGCACACCTTTACAGGTGAATCTGTAAGTTTGAGGCTAGCCTGTCTACATATCAAATACTAGGACAGGCAGGATGACATAAAGAGACCCTGTCTCAAACAAATAATTAGCAAAAAGTTGTGAGCCCTGCAGGGCAGCGTGTGCTCCACAGCCCAGCCTAGCTGGACAGACAGAGTGTGGCGTGAGGACGTCCCCCGACTCTGGCAATAGGAAGCAGCAGGTATAGGACACTTATGCTTAGACTACTAAGACAAGATGTAGAAAGCCTAGAGAGAGGGCTGGAGAGATGGCTCAGTGGTTTAGAGCACTTGCCACTCTTGCAGAGGACCTCATTTAGTTCTAGCACCCACAGGCCAGTTCACAACCAAATATAACTCCAGCTCTGAGTCTGAAGACCTCTTCTGGCCTCCTTAGTCACCTGTACATGGCATGCACACACTTAATTCATAATTTACTTTAATATTAAAGAAAATCCAAGAAAATGCCTGGAAAGAGACACAGCATAGTGAAAAGGTTTGGCCGTGACCGTTATCCTGTGTGGCCCTCATCAGGTCACTTGGTATTAAGGTGCTTGCATTCGAGTGTGCATGTTTGGACTAGATTATCTCAGGCTCTTCCAGATTCTGTGACTATAAAATGCAGCAGAGTCTACCACACGCTGAAGAGTCCAAACAGCAAGCTCAGAGTACAGGAGAGCCAGTCATGGTGGCATGAGGGCTGAAACTGGAAAGGCTGCCAGCACATATGTGCACGCATACAGGTATGCGGGCACACAACACCACACTACAGTCACTGATTTCCAAAGTGGACAGAGTTCACACCCTGTTGAAATCTTACTTTTTCCTCTGCCTTTTTCCCCTCTCATTGTACCCTGACTGGCCTGGAATTTGCTATATAGACCAAGCTGGCCTGGAACTCACAGAGATATTCCTGCCTCTGCCTTCTGAGTGCTGAGATTAAAGGGACACACCACCATGACCAACTTATGTTGCCTTGAAGGAAAGGAAAGTTTATTAGAGGGAAATAAAGTTTTATTTTGTCTTGGAGACCCAAAGAAAGACAGGACAGATGCCTGAGCGCTGTTCTCCTGACCCTCTCTTGTCTTCCCAGATTGAGATGGCGCAGAAGCTGCTGAACTCTGACTTGGGTGAGCTCATCAGCAAGATGAAGCTGGCTCAGCAGTACGTCATGACCAGTCTGCAGCAGGAGTACAAGAAGCAGATGCTGACAGCTGCTCATGCCCTGGCTGTGGACGCCAAGAATCTCCTGGATGTCATTGATCAAGCAAGACTGAAGATGCTCGGGCAGACACGGCCACATTGAGCCACTGGACACTGGACACGGCTTTCTGCCCTTTTGGAGATCTTCTCTAGCATTCCACCAGCAGTGAGGAAGTAACCGTTTCCTCCTCGGACGCCTGCACTCACAACTCCAACTGAATGACAGCTATCTGAAAGTCTCTCTCATATAAGTTTAACCACTTATGTGTGGTTTTGAGTTTGTTATTTTTCTAAATAATATTCAGAAACATCAGGATCCAAAATGGCATTTTTCTGAGAATGAAGATTGTACATTAAGAAGCTTTTAAAAAACACTTGGTGTTGGAATTGGGATGTGTGCTCTTGGGAGTGGTAGTTCCTACTGACCGTGGCTGCAAGGTGGAAGAGGACTGTCTGAAGAGGGAGGGCTCCCCAAGGCCGCAGAGGTGGGCCTTCCTCCTGCCAGGGTCCCTCTCCAGGCTGGGCTGCAATATGCTAATCTCGTTTACAGAGAAAGTGCATAAAAGCTATATTTTGAAGACTAAGTGTTTTCGGAAGAAAACTTCTTCCCTCCCTGTCTCCACCTATTTCTTTGCAGTGGATACTGAAGCATTGAATTGTGAACTGTCTGTAGAACTGATGGAAAAACTCTTATCTTTCCTCACCAGAATTCTGTGCCAGTTTTTTGTAGCAATGTAATTTTTCTTGGGAGCAGAAATGCTTTGTACCAGAGCACTCCCAACTGCATCAAGAAGTTCCAGAACCATCCCTGTTCTCCATTTTTATATAATTTATAAGAATGATTAAAGCCATGTTGACTCTTACAGCCACTAGAGCTAACTGATCTTCATTGCGTCTGTCTTCCCAGAGAGGACCCCCACAGGACAGACAGGGAGGACCCCCACAGGACAGACAGGGGTGTGGTTCTCTTTACAAGTCCAGTGTCACACCGTGCACTCTGTTAGACAATTTTGAAAGCATACCTTCCCTTTAGTTTGTCAAGGGATATAAATTATTCTCAGGAAGAATATAATGAATTGTACAGTTACTCTGACCTATTAAAAAGGTGGCGCCAGTAAAGTGTCTGTTGCTGTCGCCTTTTTTAGGGTGGGGCAGTCTTCGTTTAAGATTGTTCAGGGGAGCTGTGAGAAACTCACTTGCACTGCACAAAAGTGGAGGACTCCACCATAGACGGCAGACCATCCTAACCTGCTATTCCATTCTGTCAGGGCCGTAGGTGGTTTTTGTTTGTTTTGACTTTTTTTTTTTTAAGGGGGTTAGTTTTGTGTTTGTTTGGTTTTGTTATTTGTTGTTGAGCTCACAGAGATTTCCCTGCCTCTGCCGGGATTAAAGGTGCACACCACTATACCCAGTTTGGTTTGGGTTTTAGAACATATTTGTTACTTTGTTATTCTTTCTTGTGTGTGTGTGTGTGTGTGTGTGTGTCAGTGTGTCATTGCTCAAACGGAAGTTAGAACAGAACTTTGAGGACTTAGTTGTCTCCCTCAGTTATGGATTCCACGGACGGAGCTCAGGTCAGCCTGTATAGCAAGTGCTTTGACCCGCTGAGCTAACTCTCCAGCCTCAGTTTGGCCTTTGTAACTCAGGACAGTGTGGAGCTCACGGCAGGGCTTCCAGTTCTTTATTGAACCGCTCAGTGAAGTGTCATACCTTCACACAGCACTTTGTGTATTGCTCCTGGGCCCCTCCTACACTCTTCCATTTCTGGCTTCTTTTCCTCAAAACAATCGTTTGAATGCCTATATGCTATATGCCAGAAGTCATTCCTCCTTGTGGTAATAGTCCATGGCTCCAGTGTCACCACAGACTTACCTAACACCTGTTGGTGAGTCTGTTAAAACTGAACTAGCTGGTCTCAAGCAGGTAACAAGCCTTCTGTCTGAACTTCCCAAACCCTGGGGTTGCAGGCATGTGCTACCATGCCTAGCCCCATTTCACCATTTCCATGTGGGCTTTTTGTTTTTTGGCGGGGGGTTGGGGGGCGTAGGGACTGAGGGGTCTCGTGCGGTCCAGGCTGACCTCAAACTCATTATATCCCCAAGGCTATGTAGTGACCTTCCTGCCTCTACCACCTGAGTGTTAGGATTTCAAGCGTTCTGGTTCATCATGCCTCACTTACTGGACTGAGATGAGGAGATAGCCCCACCCCCCACCCCACCCCCGGTAAGGCACTTTCTAGCCTCTGTGAAGCCCCAGGTTCAATTCCCCAGCAGGAACAGGGAGAGTACTAGGTGTCGGCTTCAGTGTGCCAGTCTTTAGTGAGGCATTTGCTTTCTTACTTTCTCCCAGCCTCTGGCCTCCACTGCCTTCCTGAATGGTGGCTGTGTTTGTCTGCTGGCTTGTTCCGTGGGGTCCTATGCAGTGAGGGGTTTGTCTTTTTTTTTTTTTTTTTTTTTTTTTTTTTTTTTTTTGCTATGTAGCACAGGCTACCCTCATTCATGCTCATGGCAGTGTGCTCCTGCTTTAGCCCCCCCCTCCCCCCGAGTGGTGAACCTTACGGCTTAGTTCACTTCTTTTACAATACAGCTAAGTGTAATACGATGAAAACTATCACATCTGATTTGTACAAGATAAACTTAACAGAAGGAAAGAAATCCAAGAGAGTGCACAAGAGTCAGAGCCACTGGTTCACACACTCAGGAACCCCGTGGAAACACTAACCTGGAAGACAGACAGTATATACACAGAGGCCCTGTGCTTGCTGCCTGGCTCTCTTGTGTTCATACAAGTTTTGTTCATGTTGATAGGGCCTTGTTTTCTTAGTATCTTCCATGCCCTCTGGCTCCTACATTCTCCACCTCCTCTTTATGGGGTTCCCCGAGCCCCATAAAGGGGGCAGGGGGCAGATTTGGTAGAAACATCCGGTCTCTCACACTCCACGGGTCTTTGTTTTTGTTCCCAACCACAGGAGGAAGCTTCTCTGATAAAGGCACAATGTCATTACTAATCACAAATTCTTGGTCACCCAGGCAGTGCCGGGTGTGGCTTCTATCTCATAGAATGGACCTTAAGTCAAACCAGATATTGGTTGGTTACTCCATGAAGCTTTGTGCCAACCATTGCCCTCACGTATCTTGTAGGCGGGGCACCTTTGTTGATCAGAGGCTTTGTGGCTGGGTTGGTCTTTACGATTCTTTGGTAGCGTGCAGAGTATCTTCTTCCTGTACCAGAGACACTAGAATAAAGGCTTTAGTAGGTAGGTGCCAGCCCAACTTCTCCTATGTTCAATGAGTTGTGTAGGTGTTGTCTTCAGCAATGGGATCTCGCTGTCAGTTTTCAGAAAGCAGCATCCTGATTCCCATGGAACCTCTTTGGCCAACAGCTAAATTAGATGTAACCCAACCCCAGTACTGGAAGCTTCATTTGGTAACAAGAGATGGCTAGTTGGGGTTTTATCCCCCCCCATTATCTGGCAATTCTATTTAAATCTCCTTAATATATGTGTATATTTTAGGAAGCTTCCATTGTATTACGTTTCCATACTATCCCTCAAGTTGTCCTTAGTTTTAGCTGTCCTCGTATTCCTTCCATCATCCCTCTCTCCTCTCCACTGGCCACCTAATTCTCCCATCCATCCATAACGTGCTATTGTATCCCCCCTCCTACTTTTTTAAAGGTTTATTTATTTATTATGTGTACAGCATTCTGCCTACATGTATGCCTGGAGGCCAGAAGAAGAGGGCTCCAGGTCTCATTACAGATGGCTGTGAGCCACCGTGTGGTTGCTGGGAATGGAACTCGGGACCTCTGGAAGAGCAGCCAGTGCTCCTAACTTCTGAGCCGTCTCTCCAGCCCTTTTTAAATGAGAGCTGTCTGTACCCCCCCCCAGTCCCTTACTCTATACCCAACATATCTGGTTCTAAAGTTGTAGCTTGGTTATCACTGGGGTAACAGCTGCTATCCACATGTGAGTGAATACTTACCATACTTGTCTCTCTGGGCCTGGGGTACCTCACTCGGGGTGATTGTTCTCTAGTTCCAACCATTTACCGAACATTCCATTATGTCATTTTTTTTTAATGGCTGAGTAATATTCCATTGTGTAAATGTACCACATCCCCACCCCCCACCCGCATTCTTCTGTTGAGGGGCATCTAGGTTGTTTCCAATTTCTGGCTATTATAAATAGAGCAGTAAATGAACATGGTTGATCATGTGACTCTGAGGTAGAAGGAAGCATCCCTTGGGTATATGCCCATGAGTGCCCAAGAGTGGTACAGCTGAATCTTAAGCTACATCAATTCCCTTCTTCTTGAGGAACCGCCACACAGATTTCCAAAGAGGCTGCACAAGTTTGCACTCCCAGAAGCAATGGATTAAGTGTTCCCAGCTTGAGATGTGGTTCATTTGTTTGTTTGGTTGGTTTGGTTGTTTTGAGACAGTGTTTCTCTGAGTAGTCCTGGCTGTACCCCACATCACATCCTTGCTAGCTTGAGCTGTCACTGGTTTTGTTTTTCAAGATAGGCTTTCTCTGTGCATTCCAGGCTGTCTTGGAATCCACTGTGCAAAGCAGGGTAACCTCTGTCTCAGATGTCCACCTGCTTCTGTGTCCCTCCTCTCCCCCCTCACAGGTTCTGGGATTAAAGATGTGAGCTACCACCATCAGGCTTGTTACTTGTTTCATTGATTTTAGCCATTCTAACAGGTGCCAGGTGAAATGTCAAAGTAGTTCTGATTTGCATTACCCTGATGGCTAAGGATGTTGATCATTTCTTGAAGTGTTCTCAGTCATTTGATTTTCTTCTCTGTTTAGCCAAGTGGTCGTAGTGCACATCTTTAATCCCAGCACCCAGGAGGCAGAGGCAGAGGTAGAGGCAGGTGGATCTCTTTGAGTTTGAGGCCAGCCAGCTCTACAGAGTGAGTTCTAGGACAGCCAAGGAGAAGCTGGCAGAGGAATGGTCACACAAACAGTGTTTCATCATACTCAGCTGGAAGACAACAGACATCTTTAAAATGCATTTTTGGTTTGTTTTCTTTTTTGAGACAGTGTTTCTTAGTGCAAGAGCCCTGGCTGTCCTGAGACTCACTTTGTAGACCAAGCTGGCCTCGAACTCAGAGATCTGCCTGCCTTTGCCTCCTAAGTGCTGGGATCTAAGATGTGTACCACCACTGCACAGTTTTAAAATACATCTTTAAAATAAAGCATGTGAACTTCTTGTGTCTTTCTTGAAATGTTTGTTTTTAAATCTTTTTTAAAATGCTTGAGCTGGGTGTTTGCCTTAAATCCCAGCACTTGAGAAGCAGAGGCAGGAGGATCTCTGTGAGTTCAAGGACAGCCTAGTCTACAGAGTGAGTTCCAGGACAGGCTCCAAAGATACAGAGAATCCCTGTCTCAATAAATAAATAAATAAATAAATAAATAAATAAATAAATAAATAAAGATTTAAGAGTGTTTTGAGTAAATATATAGCCATGATGTGTGGGGTCAGAGGACAATTTCACGGCATCATTTCTTCTACCATGTCGATTCTGGGGATGAAACTCAGGTCATGAGCCATGCCCTTACTGGTTAAAGCCATCTTGTCTGCCTGGTGTTCCAGCTTATATGGTAAGGTTATGTTGAGGTCTTAGTTTGTGTTGGGTTTGTATTAACTTCTGTTTTATACATTATTCCATTTTATGTGCATATATGTATGCCTGGTTTCCACGGAGGTATGAAAAGGCATCGATTGCATCCCCTACAACTGGAGTCACTATCTAGGTGCTGGGAATCAAACCTGGGTCCTCTGCAAGAGCATCAAGTGCTCCTAACCACTGAGCTGTTTTTCCAGTCCCTCACCCCTGTTTGAGGCAATGTCTCACTATGTAGCCCTCGATGTCCTGGAACTCGATATGTAGATCAGGCTGGCCCAGAACTCAGACCTCATCTGTCTGATGGGAGATGACATTCTGTAAATATGTTTCTCTTATTGGTTAATGAATAAAGCCCTGTTGGCCAATAGGAAAGCAAGATAGGCGGGACGAGGAGACAAGGAGACTTCAGGGAGAGGTAGGAAAAGATTCAAAATGTAGGACAGAGAGAACTCCAGACCTCTCTCTCTGGTAAGATAAGACCACGT